AATTGTACTGTTGCACAACGTTGAAACCAACATGTAGCAGTATAATTATGGAAGTCGTGCACCTTTAAGAATGGGAGAGGGAAGAGGATGAGAGTAGCTTTGCGTAAAAAATTGTGTGCTCCTTATACAATAATTAACAACTTTGATTGTTAATAATTTTTTAACGAAGAATGATCGTTAATATCTTCTGAAGGTCACTCGGGATCATCATCTTGACCACATATGTCAAGATTAAGGTCATCGGAGAGTGCTCTCCTATACTAGACATTTATCATATTTTCTATCGAGATTCGTGATAATTACAGAGCTAGTCAAAAAATGCCGTGGAGATTCAGACATGGAGATCCATGACATCCAGACATGAAATTAAGATTTTAAAAGGAAATATGTAGTTGAGGATTAAACTGCCTCAGATAAAGAAAAATAATTGCAGATATAAGTGATTGGAAACAAATATAAGTATGTTTACATGTACCGTGACACAACACATATATAGTGATGATATATAACAATATATACGTCAATAACATGTTATTATTCTGATCGCTAAAAAAAATTTGTCAGGGTACTGAGATGCAAAAAAAATGTCGACTTTTATAGAGATGACAAATGAACTTGCCTTTGCGACGAACTGAATAACAAAGATCGTTGAATTCGATGCACATTTGCACGTTCCGCGATTTCTCGGGTTCCAGCAATTTTTCTGATTCCTCCATATGGATCTTGCAATCATCCATTATTCTTGCAACGTTATTTTTATCGTTTATTTTCACCATTTTGCTAGACTCTTCATGAAATTAGCTTCGTGGTCAATTCATTAATTAAAGAGTTGATATTTATACTACAAGATAACACAAGTACATGATATAATAATTATTAAGTACTTTATCAGTTACATATATGACAGACTGTGCATTGAACTCCGTTTTTATGACTGATCTCATATTTTGTGCTGCTGATTATAAACGTAAGCAAAGACGTATCTAGAAGGAGGACTTAATGCGCGATTCCCACCGCGAGTAATAAATTTAAGGGAAGGGGAAAGAAAAAAATATCCTAGAAATTTATCTCTAATTATTATCTGTAAAGTCTCATTATCAATCAAAATGATTTTACAGTTTAATGTGCCATGTAGTAAATTAATTCTTTTTAGCCAAAGAGAGAAAAGTGAAATTGTAACTTTTTCATAAATTTATAAAATAAAATACTGTTTTAACACATTATATCCGAATGTTCTTTTTTATCTTACATCTTTATACTACGTAGTCTATATGATGTAATTTTTTCAAAATTAAAATGAATAGAAAACATATAAAAAAGTAAAAAATTATCAAGTCATATAAAAAATATGATGGTATTTTTAACAACAACGTAAGTTTTAATACAACAGAGTTTTACAACAATATAAGGTTTAGTACTAATTTAAGTTTCTCTTAATAAAAAAAGATCATTAGAAAATCATCTTTAAAAAAATAATAAAGATATTAAGTATAAGTTTCTTGAAAAATAATTGCAGCTATTTTAAAAAAATAAATCCCGAATGATACATTTCTTTGTATTTTCATTCTTCCTATTTCAAGTAATATACTGTAATATGTATAGTATAATATATATAATATGTATATAACTTTTATTCTCTTTAAAAAAATATCACAAAATTGCACTAATTAAAATAAAATTTATACACGTTATACTAACTGAGCCTAAGTAATATACATTTACAAATTCCCATTTAAGAATAATTTTATTTGACCTAAGTAATATGTTGTATTTTTTTGTTTTAACTTAATATTCAAAAATATTGAATATAAAAAATTAGACGCTGCTACATCAAATGTACAGGGTGTTCTGAGATATATTGCCAGTACTGAAAATTCATGGTTACGTAAAGGTTTGCTGGCTTAAATCGGAAGCACAGCCACGAAATACTAATTTTAATGATAGAAGGCAGGCCCCAGCTATAAAAAAGCAACTCTGATGAATTCAGCAACTTTGGGTACATACAGCGCATGAGCAAGAGCTATTTCGTTCTTGGATTGGAAAGGTTATTTTTAGTCGCCATGTTAGACGCTATAGTAGAAGTAAAAACGGAGCTATCATACAAATGTCAATCATTTGCATGTCATGCATTTCAATTCTACAACGATATCACATTAAGCATCTTTTGTTATAGTCTATACATCGATTGAATAACTTCTCCATCAACGCGAAAAAGACTAATAACAGCTGCTGTTTGTCCAATACCGCTGATTTATAAATGTTAAAATTTCTTTTACATACACTAGCACTTTCTCTCATTAAAATTTTGTATATGTTACAAATTTTTCTTTTATTATACAAAAAAGTACTACTATTTAAGTTGAAATAGAATTATTCTGAAGTAGGAATTCGAGAATACGTATTATTTAGATTATAGATAAAAAAATACTATAACTTAAATAGGACATTTATTTTACACACTTTATTTTAATGGTGTAATTTTGTGATATAATTATTTTTTCGGAAAATTAAGTTATCTTTGGGTTAAAATAAAAAGAATGAATATGAATACAATGATATCACTGAGATTTTATCTTTTAAAGTAATTATACAATACACAATTGTTTTACAAGGGGTACGTGCATCTATTTTTTATAAGTGAACATACTCGAATTTAAAATAAAATTAATGTACATTTGAAGTTTGGCGAAAGCAAGATAGAAAGTTTAATGCAGCAACAAAGAATAGATATATATCCATATTCCTTTCTTGAAGAATGAGGATTCCTTGTTCCTCATTTCATGTTTCATAAACTTTCTTTGATTGATCAAATAAGGAGCCTTATTAGTTTTCTTTTCTCAAGATAAGTTACGAGTTTTCTTGAAGAGGACATGTAACCTTTATAACCAAGCAAATCTTCAAATTTAATTCGTCACATCGGTTTTTTACTTTCGATTACTTTTAATTTAAATTTAACGCATCGATAATTATTTTTGATAGTTTGTTTTCAGAAATAAAGTCCTCCTCCATTTTCTCCTTCTTCGTATAATAAGTATTATAGCGAAATTCGATTAGAAGCACCGATGCATATTAAAGCGTTGTACACTAATTTAAGTATAAAAATAAAATGCAAATATTTCGAATTATAAAATACATAGTTTATCTAACAGTACAATAAAATGTATTGAGTATTTCACAATTTAATTGTAAAATAATTGATTTCTATGTTTATTTATAAATATATATTTACGTTATTTTGTGTATATACGGCGGTTTTAATGTGCATCAGTGCACAATGAGTACGTCCAATTAAATCCGCTATTATTTTATTTTTGTTCATTATTGTTACAAAATGCTTAATCACGACCTTATTTAATCAACAATGCTTTTATAACCTTTATTATTCGTAATTCACGATATTAGATATGCATATACTATATATATTATGACGTGCTATCCTCAATAGGTTACTAAAATCCCTAAAATGTTCCTTCCTTCGAGAAGACAGACTTGATTCATTTATGAAACAAGGAGACCTTGGAAAATCGAGGAATCCTTCATGGAAAATCGAGGAATCCTTCCTCGATCCTTAAAATAAGGAAGGACTATGAATAAAATATGGATGTTAGACATGATTTTTTAATGCCCTGTATATGATTCATTATAGAATTTAAATGCTTGTCAGTGATTTATGTTATTAAATAAAAATTTATAGTACTAAAAATTTTAAAAACACGAAATTAAAAATATTTTAAATTAATAAAAATATTTACACGATTTAATCTGAATTCTAATTACTTATTATAAATTGAAAAATTTTATTATTATTTTATTATTGTATTTTCTATATAATAATT